TGGTGATGGTTGTGATGGTGATGAATATGGTGATGGTGATGATGATGGTGATGATGATGGTGGTGATGGTGATGGTGAAGATGATGATGATGATAGTGATGATGGTGATGGTGATGATGATGGTGAAGGTGGTGGTGATGATGTTGATAGTGATGATGGTGATGGTGGTGATGATGGTGGTGATGATAGTCATGATGGTAGTGATGATAATGATGGCGGTGGTGATGGTGGTGAAGAGACTACTATTGGAACAACTTGGGTCCTAAGGATGTTGGAATGTGACACATATTTTTCTGTCCCAGTTGACCATGTGGTCCCTGAACCTGGGTCCAGCCTGCTGACCTCCTTCGAGAAGTGGCATGAAGCAGCTGACACCAAATCCTGCTGCGACTACTCCCTGCACGTGGACATCACCAGCTGGTACGATGGCATTCGGGAGGAGCTGGAGGTGCTGGTGCAGGATAAAGGTCAGTCACAGCTCAAGAATGGGGTCGCAGTTCTGGAATCTCCGTTTCTTTGGGGGATCTGGTTGTATGGGATTCCTTTATCTCCATCTGCCGTGAGCCCGGCTATGAGCTGTGCATTGCCGTACAGCCAGCGAGAAAGCAGGACGCTCTCTACGGAGTCTGCCTTCTTCTCCTTCGGGCCCTGGGGAGGCACGCCCGTTCACAGGAGAAAGCGCGCCTCCTTCGCTCGGCACGCAAGGCCCTCACTGATCTCACCCCGCTTTTCTCTCTCTGCCGTAAACTCATCTGGGTCCTTGTCCGGGATGCCGCCCCCTCAAACCTGCTGCACCGCTGGGCCTTTGCTCATGCTCCCTTTGCCGAGAACGCCCTTTCCTCTCTGCTGCTACTCAGCTCAGCCATCGCCTTCTCCATTTCCCCCAATCAGAACCGCTTTATCCCCTGAATACCCGCAGCAGGTTGCTCTCTTGGGGGCACCTTTTCCATTGTTCTTGGGTGACGGGACATGGGCGGTCTCCCCGGATGTCCTGTTAAACCCTGAGCTCTCTGAGGGAGGGGACTGTGTCTGTACCTCTCTGTACCCCACCCTGCTCCCCCTCTGTTGGGCTCACCAGTTGTCTCTGCACGGTGTAGCTACTTTATAGTGCGCATGACATCACATGAGGGGAACCGAAGCCCCACAAAAGCGAAGAACGAGAGAGCAGGACGAGCCACGGCGTGGGTGGCCATCTGGAGAGGCAGTTCCGGGGCTGGCTGAGGAGGCAGCCGCCAGTGAACCTGGTGCTTCAGGGGGAGCAGGGGGCGTGTGCAATTTTTAAAACGTATATGCTGCATTTTCTCATTATAAAAGTATCATTTCCATGATACAGAAAAGTCAGAAAATTGAGAGAAGGAAAGTAATGTTTTTCCTCTGGTCCTATCTGTCCCTAATGGCCACTTACCAGTGATGTCAAGGATTCCTGCCTTCCACCCCCTGTCTGTTCGGACGACTTTCTCTTTATATGATGATACGATGGCAGTTATGTAGAATCCTTTGTGAAGTGATCATTACTCTTCATTAATAACTTTGATGGCTCCTAGGTAGTACACAAGGTAATGGCTTGTTTGCTTAGCGGTCTTCTTTTTATCGGGCACTTAGGTTTTCTGTTTGCTTTCCTGTCGATCATGTTAAGGTGACCATCTCTGTACATAAACATCGGTTTGCATTTCTAATGATTTCCTTAAATTTCCAGAAGCGAAATTGTGAGGTCAAGGTTTTCATCGTTTTCAAGATCGTGACACTTAGTGCCAAGTCGCTTTCCCGAAAGGTGACCCCGCGAGCAGACCCCCAAGCCCACGTCTCTCGCTCCCTGTGTGTTCACACCATTGGGTGTTACTGTTTCTACAAAATTCTAGCTAATTGGATGGGCGAGAGTCAGTTCACTATCGTACATTTTGGTTCTTCAGTCGCTAATTATGTTCCCTATGTGAACGTCCAGCTGTATTTTTGGCCCACGTGTCAGTGTGGATTTTTCTCGTGTCTGAGCTCTCCGTGGCAGGAAGTCACCGTCCCTCCACAGCGGCCGCTGTGGCTCACGTTCTCGCTTCGTGCAGAATCGTAATCCGAGGGAGTTTGCATTTCGTACAGAAGCCCCGTCATCCACGGTTTCACTTTCCACGGTTTCAGTTATTTGCAGTCAGCGAGGGTCTGGAAATAATAAATCGAGAATTCCAGAGATAAACAACTCGTGATTTTTAAATTGCATGCCATTCCGAGTAGCATAAGGAGATCTCGAGCTGTCCCGCTCCCTCCCACCAGGGACGCGAATCGTCCCTTTGTCCAGGGTCCCCATGCCGTGTATGCTCCCCCACCTGTCAGTCACTTAGTAGCCGTCTCGGTTATCAGATGGTCGGGGTATCGCAGTGTTTGAGTTCGCTTATTTTACGTAAGAACAGCCCCCGAATGCTCTGCGCTTCCTTTCATTGAAAAAGCGAAAGTCTCGACTTAAGGCAAGAAAAAAATCGTACACTGAGGAGGTTGCCGAGCTCTATGGTAAGAACGAATCTTCTATGCATGAAATCGCGAAGAAAGAAAAACTAACTCGTGCTGCTTCGCCGTGACGCCTGACGCAGCGATCACAGCCATGGCGTGTGATGAGGGCTTGGTTAAGGTGGGGAGGCATCGAGCTGTGGCTGGAGGGCACGGACAGGCCGCAGTCACGTGACTTTTATGACAGCATATTGTCATAATTGCTCTATTTTATTATTAGTGATTGCTGTTGATCTCTTACTATGCCCGATTTGTAAATTAAGCTTTATCGTAAGTACGTATGTACAGGGCTCTGTGCTACGCGTGGTTTCAGGCTTCCACGGGCGGCCTGGGACGGGTCCCCCACAGATAAGGGGGCACACCTGCATCTCGCTTCCCTCACCTACTGTTAAACCCTGAGCAGTTTTCCGTGTTACTAGGGGCTTCATCAGGTTCATTGTGACAGCCTGACCTTGATGTGCCTGTGGGGGAGGGGTCAGGGAGCAGCAGGATTACAAACCTCATGGGAGGGTGACGTTGCTGTGTCGGGGAGGGGACTTCGTGGAGTTGTACGTGCTGCATGGTCCTGGAGGAGGGCAGAGAGCTGTTTTTTTCCCTTTAACTAGAAACTTGCAAAGAAAAGACTTGGTGACTTTTTAGGTGCATTCATAGATTTTAGATATCTAGCCAGTACTGTAAAATGCCTTTTATTTGTTTAATTTTCAGAATCAGTACATGTTTATTGAAGCAATATGAAAGCATCTAAAGTGAAGTAATAATTTAGTGTTTGTCTTTCCAGGCATTTTTCCTATTTGTATATGTATGTACAAAACCTTTGAATATGCATATACATATCCTATTTGTATATGTGTATGCATACTCACATGTGCATCATTTTTACATAAATATAACTCTACTATGCATAATATTCTGCAGTATGCTTCCTTTTACTCAATAAAACGTCCAGACAACCAGACTCCTGCACTTAGCAACTTTGCGGCCTTGGGCCAATTACTTAACCTCCCTGCCTCAGTTTCCCCATGTGGAAAATGGAGGTAACTAAAGGGTTGTTGTGAAGATGGAACGAGAGGGTACAGGTCAAGGGCTTAGAGCCGCGCTGGCCTGTGCTAGGGCTTCTCCGTTGTTAGTTATTCGTTCGTTATCTTTCCGTGTTGGCGCATACCCCGGTTCTCCTAAGAACTCCGGAGTATTCAGTTTTTGTGGAGGTGCTGGGTCCATCCAGCTCCTGCTGGTGAACTAAAGAAAACAGAATCTGTCCCAGGGCCCCCAGGGAGCAAACTCAAAGGTAGAGAAGCAAGTATGCGTGAGTTTCCTGTTGCTGCTGGAACACGACCCACCACCTTATGGTTTAAAACAACACACACGGCCATTCCGGAGTCCGACGTCCGGAAGGTTCTGACGGGCTAACGGCAAGGCGTGGGCAGGGCACGTTCCTCCTGGAGGCCCCAGGGAGAGCCCGTGCCTGCCCTCTCCAGCCCCTGCAAGGTGCCCGTGCCCCTCGGCCTGTGGCCCTGCTTCATTCTAACCTCTGCTGCTGCCATCACGCCTCCTTCTCTGACCCTGGTGATTACCCACCCTGGGCCCACCCAGGACGATGTCCCGTCTTGGGATCCTGAATTCACAGAGTCCCCCTTGCCTGGGAGGGAACTCACATACAGGTTCTGGGGATTCGAGGAGTGGTCATCTTCAGGGAACCTTTATCCTGCCTCCCACAGAGTGATCAGCCCCTGTGAGCAAGGCTAAGGAAGCAGGCTGGGCCGCAGGGAGCCCTGAGACCCGGATGCCCTTCAGATGTATCCCAGGAAGGCGAGGGGCTCGGGGCTTCATACTCCTGGCATCCAGTCATTGGACGTGGCCCCTCTGGGAAGGGGTGTGGCCTTGAGCTAGGCAGCTGTCTCAGTGGAGGGTGGCTGGGCATGGCTGACAGCTGCCCAGCACTGTGAGGGTCACCTGCCCGCAGCTCTCCAGCAGTGTGGGGAGGGGACGAGTCCTTCATCCACGAAGGGGGACCTTGCGGCTTATCGCAGCCCCCACAGTGGTTTGCTGTTTCAGATGGTGCTGTGGGACACAGGACATGTTCGTAAGGATATCTGTGCTTGCTGGTGCAAAGGCGTGTGAAGGGCAGAGAGCTGTTTGTGAACATGGGGTGCTCACCTCCCTCCACCTGTGCGGGAGCTTTTGGAGGATGGGGCCAGGAGGGACCAGCTCCACTGACCTGTGCCAGGCGGGCAAATGCTGGCTCTGCGTGTAACTTGGTTTCATCTTCTAAAGCTGGGCAGCCTTACCATGCTCTGTCTCTCACGAGTGCACAGTCTGGGCTCCGTGTTACTTCTCTAGCCACAAGCCGGAACAACCCGAATGCCCACGGGAGGGCGGGCGGTCAGCAGGGCGCGGGCTGCCCCTACGATGGCCTGCTACTCAGCATTTAGAGGCAACCTGCGTCCGGCGCCTGCTACAATGTGGATGAACCCTGGGGACGCCATGTGATGGTGTCAGACGCCGTGTGATGGCACTGTAGGTGCCTAGATGAGTCAGGGTTGTAGAGAGAGGGGTAGATGGTGGCTCCAGGGGCTGGGGCGGGGGGTGGGGGGTCATATAATGGGGACAGTTTCAGTTTTGCCAAGATAAAAAGTTCGGGGTATGAGGGTGAAGACGGCCGCACGACAGTGTGAACGCACTCGATGCCACTGAGCTGTACACCTGGCAAGGGTGCTGGTGGCGGATTTTGTGTTATTTGCATTTCTCACAACTGCTGAAAAACGAGCGATTCCTGTGTGCTCACGGCTCTGGACGGGCGCGTTGGTTTGGGCTCAGCTGGGCATTTCTGTCCTTCCTCAGCTGGGATGGTGGGGGGCAGGGGGACACTGCTCTCCATAGTCTGTCTCTAGCGGCTGTCATGAGCTGCTTCCCATGCTGGGTCCCAGTGGGGCAGTGACCCGCGCGCCCTCTGATGCTGGCCGAGGCTTGGGATGCGAGTGCTGCCATTTCTGCCTCATTCAATTGTCCAGAGAAGTCGTGGCATCAGCCCACGTTCAAGGGCTAGAGAAATAGGTGACTTCTCGAGGGAAGTCGCTGCAAACCCTCTGTGACACTTCGAAGATTTGGCAGCCGATTTAATGTCATCCTGGCTCCTGGATCTACATGAAATGATCTCGTTTGTTCCCAGTAGGTGGTAGAGAAGGACCCTCCCTACCTTGTATCTCCAGTTTCTAAAATGGTCCTCACACGTAGTAAATAAACGTTCGATGAGTGAGATGATAAATATCCCATGAAAAAGGGCTTCTGGGGTCCAGTAAGTGTGGGAGATGCTCACGGTTCACTCCCTTCTCGAAGAGCCTGGTCGATTGCTGATGAATCCACTCTTTCTTCATCGATGTACACGTCACCCTCCCTGTGTTGACTGCAGACAACAGAGTCCCTCCAGAGCGCGGCTGAGGCCGAGTGACGCTTCCGTGTGTGGCCACGCGCATCCGAGGATCCCGCGGCAGGGGGGCCTCGCGTGCTCACCCGAGGTTTCCTCTGAGCTGGCTCTGTCCTCCCTCCCACCCTCCACCCGCATTCTCTCCTTCCAGCATTCCTCAGGGGAAATGGAGCAGCTGGGTGGGCATCTCTGATTCAGGGACCAGCCAGGTGTCCTTGGTACCAGCTGGACTGAGTCCCTCTTCCTGGCTCAGCTTGGTATCTGTCAGGTGCCGCGCCCTGGACCAACCACCTGTAGTTTGGGGCCACGGGGTATGAACACGGCTGCTTCGTTGGTTGACAGGTGGATAGGGAAGAGGGCAGTTGCTAGAAAATGCGAGGGAGTCCTGCGAACTGCAGGGGGGGGGGGCGGTGTTATGAGAAGGCGGACAGCCCAATGGGTATCACAAGAATGTGATACCGATGAGTCGTTCTTTTATTTTTATTTAAGCCTCCTCGATAATGAGAAACTGATCCTTTTATATCAATCTCTGAATATTCTTTTTCTTTCCGTTTCTCTTGATCTTTCGGGAAAGGAATTTTTTGTTGCCAAGATTTTCTACACAAGAAAAGATTTTTGGCTTGTCTTCACTGTTGCTTCGTATAAAAGTCTCAGTCCCATGTAACCCTTTTGCCTTAAATTCTTCATTTTCTTTATCCAAATGTTTCCTGATTCCCTCAACAAACAGTTGCATGGCACAGGATGTGGGTGAGCAAGATGAAATAATATATACGATGTGGTCCCTGCCCTAAACCGCTGGAAGGTGAATTAGGGAGATGTATCCCCCGCCCCCTGCTGGCCCGTTAGCAACACACATTTACTTTGGTCAGTGTCAGGGTTTTGCGCCCCGCCCCCTCTCCATCCTTGCAGCTCTTGTCCCGGCTCAGAGCCTCAGCACACCTGTCCGGTTTGCCCTCAGCATCCTCCTACCTGTCTCCCATTTCTCCTTGCTGTTCTGCCCACCCCTTCTCCACTCTGCTTCCGGAATAGCCTGAGACAAAAAGTCTGACCGCGTCCCTCCCTTTAAAAGCACGTGCCCCTTCTGGATAGTGGTGATGGCTGCAGACGTTATGAATGCCCTAAATGCCCCTGAATTGTATACACTATAAAATGCTTATGATGGCGAATTTTGTTATTTGCGTTTTACTACGATAAAAAAATACAGGGGATTTTTAAAAAGCACATGCTCCCTCTGCTTCAGCCACAGGACACTTTCTAGTACCTGCACACCTAATGTCCCTTTATCCTCCTGTCCTTGCCCCTGCACAGCCCTCCCCCTCAGCCA